ATGAAGAACTTTTCTTTATGCACCCTCTCCACACCACTCATGCTTTTAGAGACCTCTATCATATCCCCGCTCCGTCTCCTGTTTTCTAAGCTGAAAAGTCCCAGTCTCTTTAGCCTCTCTTCATATGGGACCTGTTCCTAACTCCTGATCATTTCAGTTGCCCTCCCCTCTCCCACCCTCTCTCGTCCCCTCTCCCACTTCCTTTTCCCAGTCTCCCCGAGTTTTGTTCAATATCAATACTGATATTACAATTCTCTCTGTAACCAACACTTATCCAGGGAAGAGAGAAAGAGAGACATACTCCATCAATCCTGAGAGAAGAGAGTTTACCCACCAGCATTCTATTAAAAATGCAAGATGTGGGGGAAGGAAGGTTCCAGGATGACAGAGATGATTGGTGCCTTACCTCCCATGTACATTGTTCTTCTGTTCCACACCGCTTGGCAAAACAACTGTGAAGTCCACGGTCCTGTTTATCATATTTTCTTTCATGGTCACCAGGTTCTGATCAGGGATTACTCCCAGCTCTGACAGCGACTTCTGCTCACTCTGAATTTGACTTGCAGCAGGAGGCTGAGTTGGTGGAGGGGGAGCTCGAGCCTTCATTTTTCTCCTTAAAAAATAAAACAAAACAGTGAGTCAGTGATTTCAAATACACTTCCTTCATGGCAAGTGCAAGCCTTCCTTTTACCCTGAATCTTTGGTCATTAACAAGAGCTCCGAAAGTGGAAGCAGTTTATTATCATGGAATTTTTTTTTAATATACAGCTGTATTTTATTTTTACATCTCCTTTTCTAAAATAACACCGACATCTTAGGAAGATGTACACAATAGATTTCTACCACCTGTTTCTGACCTCCCGCAAAATATTCACCACTGTTTGATGATCAGATATCTCCATGGCACAAATGTTATCTCTGTGTATTCAGAGTATCACAAAGACTGAGCTTTTCAAAAGTGTTGAGCACAGGCCTAACTCTGATCTCATTAAAATCAATGGTCCAAATCTCATTGGCTTCTGTTACACTTCAGGGGTAAGCAGCATCTTTAATTTCTCTCCCCTAGTCTCTTCATGGTCTCTCTTTCCAAGTGATAGGTCTCTGTCTGTACTTATCTGTGGGTGTGTCTAGACTACATGGCTCTGTCGACGGAGCCATATAAATCAGTGTATTCGGCATAGTCAAAGAAGCAGGGATTTCAATAATCCCCGCTTCATTAAAATAAAAAGGGCCGCCACGCTGTGCTGACAATCAGCTGATCCGGCACAGCGCGGCAGTCTAAGCTTACAGGAGGAGTCAAAAAAGGCTTCCCTTGTTGACCGCGCCACATCTAGACTGCCGCGCTGTGCCGGATCAGCTGATTGTCAGCACAGCGCGGCGGCCATTTTTATTTTAATGAAGCGCACAGTGGCCATTTTTATTTTAATGAAGCGGGGATTATTTAAATCCGCACTTCAATGATTATGTCAAGTAAACTACTTTACATGGCTCTATCAATGCAGCCATGTAGTCTAGACACACCTATGAATGTAACAAGATGGTTCAGGCCACTGTTTCTCAACCTTTTAACAAACAAACAAAATTATAAGTACCCCCAGAACCAACAGTTTTCAGACACACACATTTTTTCTACTATTGTAACATATTTGTTTAAACAATTTAATCGTAGCCGGGTGGGAGATGAAATTATTGGGTGTAAAAAGTACAAAAATAATAAAGCATTGTAAAACTTAAAACAAAAATTTAGGTTTCTCCAAATTTCAGTTGTGTTGACATCCCCCGCAGACTTCTCTCAAGTGTCCCTAAGGGTACTTGTACCACTGGTTGAGAAACACTGTTTCTGGTTACTGAACTATTCACCAACCATCTTTATTTCTGCCAACCCTGCTAGGGTTCTGCAGACCTTTCTCACCCTTTCCTTGGGTGGATTCATTTTGAGTTCATCATATTTACCATACACAATGAAAAAAGCAACTTTTAATAGATCTCAATTGAATAAATTTAGTTTTCAAATGAAAAAATATGAAAATACATTGGATAGAGGAACATATAACAAAAAAAATTTAGATACAGAAGTGGACTCAACTGTGGTCACTGCTCCTTTCTGTTTGGAATTTAATTATTTTCAAATGATCTAGCTGACGTCTTATGCTCTTGTCTATAGTGCAAAGTTACAGGAAATGGGCTACAATTACAGATGGGTCCAGATCAAGAGCTGGATTTTGATCACTCTCAAATCAGTTTACATTTGAAAATCAGCACAGGGTGCTTGAGGACAGTGCCTTGTTCCAAAGGACAGTGGTGCATCGCCAACTAAGTGAAAAGATGCAGGAATAGGGATGTAAAATTTAGATTAACTGACTAGTCGAATAGTCGATGCATCGACTATTTGATTAGTTTATAAGGGAACCTCTGCCTTTGATGTATAGCAACAGCCCCAGGCTGTTGCTACACTTCAAAGGCAAAAGCACTATGGGGAACACAGGGCCAACAGGGGACTCAAACCGTCCTCCACTGGCCCCGAGCTCCCCGTGGCGTTTCAAAGCGGCCGTGCCACATGGAGCTCGGGATCAGCAGGGGAGGGGGATGTCCCCAGCTGACCCCGGGCTCCATGCAGCGTTTCAAAGCAGCAGACCTCAGGTTCCATGCAGGGGTGCCTCTTTGAAATGCCGTGAATAGCCTGGGCCAGTTGGGAGTCTGCATGTAGCATTTCAAAGTGGCAGTGCTGCATGGAGCCCAGGGTTTGGCCCCGACGCCACACGGTGCTGCTGCTTTAAAGCACCTTCTTCTCTTCCCCCCATTACTGCCTCTTTCTGATAGAGGCCGCAAGGGGGGGGGAGCAACTAGTGTGTCAACTAGTTGTTCATATCCTTAGTTAGGAACTGTGATTCAAAACAGCTCTCTGCCTCTGCTAAATAAAAAATCATTGCACTGAACACTGGAATACCTTGGAAAAAATAATGTTCAGATGCCATCCTATTAATGGCAGCTCTTTACACAAGGACAGTCTAGCCCTGATGCCAAGGCCTCACTCTCCAGAAATAGGTTACACATTTTCTGAGCTACAGCTGGATAACCTGCATCAGCTTGCACCAAACAACATCTTTACACCAAATACACAGAGGAAGCTCCACATTCACCATGAAGTTGCCATTTACTTGACCATATAAGTCTTAATGAAATGAGAGTAGCTGGCCTCATATTGTGCATAGATCTAAGATGACTGGTTCTGATACCTAGTTTCCTAATGACCCAGTCTCAGACTTATGCTCTGCTTATGGCAGATTGTAGCAGACTACAGATGGGAAAGCAGTGCAATGTTGATCACATCAATGTATAAAAAGCCCTACTATGCAGCAGGGATTTTCACTAGCATCGATTTAATAGTTGTGTAACCGCATGAAATCTTAGTGGTTACACAACTATTCGATAGTCTGTGGGGGTGGGGCCGGCAGCCAGTGTGCTCCAGTCCCCCTCCTGGGGATTCCCGTCACTCCACATTGCTGCCCTGATATAGCTGCCTAGCTCCCCTTGCAGGCTGCCTGCCTGCCGCTCCATGCTGCAGAGGCATGCCACCCCAGGCTGCAGGGGTCCAAGCTCCCCACAGACAGAGGCTGCTCTCCATGGGATGCAGAGCAGCTTCTGTTTGTGGGGAGCTCAGGCCAACTGTGGACAGAGGCTGCTTTGCAGCAGCTTCACCAGTGAGAGGGCAGGTGGCACTGCGGAGCTTGTGCTGGGGAGAACCGGCACCAGCTCCTGCCTGCCCCCCAACCTTTGTAGGAGGAAGCAAGGGGGGACAGGAGGGTCCACGGAGCCGATATATGAGGTTTAGCTGGCTTGTCCAAGGCAGCAGCAGCGTGGGAGTAGAAGTGCAGGTGGATCCAGTGCTTGCGGGGAGCTGGCTTTTAAGCGAACTCTTCACAGGCACTGCCTGATACAGAGGCAATGGGAAGGGGCGAGAGGAGGGTAGGGAGGAAATGTGTGTAATTGACAAGATTAACTAATAAGTCTAGGCTTATCAGTTAATCCTATAGTCAATTACACATGGAGACCCCTACTATCCGCATACTTTTTTTCTTTTTGGGGGAGGGAAGGTTTACGATTTGGGCTAGCTCTCCTGCCACACCATGCAGATGAGCAGAAGCCCAGAAAAGACTCAGAACACAAAAAAAAAGTTACCGTATATTCCGGCGTACAAGACGCCCTCTGATGTTAAAAAACATCCCCCCAAAATCGGGGGTCGCCTTGTACGCCGGATGCACCGCCGC